TATATACATATATAGAATAAAAACTTTTTAAAATTATGAATATAGAAAAACACAATGACAAAGATAAATTTTGAAACAGTAAACTTGGTATACAGAAATAACGGTGGAATGAATGACGTCCTGGTTATTCCTATTTCAGTAGAAAGGCCGCCCATGACTAATCAGAGAATAACGGTTACATAATATACCGATATTTCTAATGTTTGTTATAAAAGTACGCGGCCATGTTTTTAAATATTTCTCGACCCAACCCTGTTTTACAACTACAACCTCCATGCGTGGAGAAAAATTGAGGCCTTGTAGTATTAAGAGACCACATGTTTTAATACCTTTTTTTTATAATAATAATGTTTTTTTTCTAGGCATACGTTCGATCGTGCAGCTGACCACGTCTATACTCTTCTCTTGAAAAAAGATTGCTATCCAAGGTTATAAACAATATTTTTTCTTTGTAAAAAAACTAAAAATTGTTTGAAACACTTTTTAGAAAACCCCATTTTCCGGGAAAGGGCTGTAAGCATGATTCCAAGTGACCCTAAATGCACAAATAGCAAAGCCCTATTCACAACAGTATCCTAAAAAGCCTTGTCTGACCAAGTATGGATTAAATCTCAATGATTTTGAAAATGGATTATTTTCAATTGTGGCTTTTCTTCAACAGTGATTTGCGCATTCCTAACGCAGAGTCGGAATTTAATGAATTTAAGCAGCGTCTTAAATCCGCCAAAACCGGTTTCAATTGAGCGCAGACTTGAATCTTGAATTATTAAATACAATTTTAAGTGGAACCAACCATATTTGAGCCGAGTCTTAAATTTAAGCCGCGCCTCAAACTCTTTAAACTCGGCCTCAGGAAACATAAAGAATTAAACACGTTTATACAAAGAAAACCGACATTATCTTCCACATTATTGATCAGATAAAGTCGGAAATTAGGCATTGCCATCTCTGAATGAAGGGTCACTTGAAATTACGCGTTGCAGTTCCTTTAAGGTTTTGAAATACACCAAAGTTTTGTACTGTAGGTTACTTAAATACATGTTTAATACTTCAGGTTTAATTCCAATATATGTTGTACTCTAGATTTCTAATGTCCCGGTTTCTAATATATATATTGTACTCCAGGTTTCTAATATATATATTTAGTGTACTCAAGGTTTATAATATATATTGTACGCCAGGTTTCTAATATATATTTTTTACTCCAGGTTTCTAATGTATATAGTATTCAAGGTTTATAATATAAATTGTAAGCCAGGTTTCTAATATATATATTGTAATCCAGGTTTCTGATACATATATTGTACTCCAAGTTTCTGATACATATGTTGTACTCCAGGTTTCTGATACATATATTGTACTCCAGGTTTCTGATACATATATTGTACTCCAAGTTTCTGATACATATATTGTACTCCAGGTTTCTGATACATATATTGTACTCCAGGTTTATGATATATATATATATATATTGTACTCCAGGTTTCTAATATACATATATTGTACTCCAAGTTTCTGATACATATATTGTACTCCAGGTTTCTGATACATATATTGTACTCCAGGTTTATGATATATATATATATATATTGTACTCCAGGTTTCTAATATATATATTGTACTCCAGGTTTTTAATATATATATTGTGCTCCAGGTTTCTAATATATATTGTACGCCAGGTTTCTAATATATATATTGTACTTCAGGTTTCTAATATATGCATTGTACTCTAGGTTTCTAATATATATATATATACTCCAGGTTTCTAATATATATATATGGTACTCCAGGTTTTTAATGCATGTTTTGTACTCCGGGTTTCTTATATATATATATTGTACTCCAGGTTTCTAATATATATTTTGTACGCTATTATATTGTACTCCAGGTTTCTAAAATATATATGTTGTACTCCAGGTTTCTAATATATGTTGTACTCCAGGTTTCTAGTTTATATTGTACTCCAGGTTTCTAATATATATTGTACTCCAGGTTTATAAAATATATATGTTGTACTCCAGGTTTCTATTATATATTTTACTCCAGGTTTCTAATATATATTGTACTCCAGGTTTCTAATATATATTGTACTCCAGGTTTCTAAGGTCTGAGCATTATAAAACTTTGCTCGCTAATGCGTTAAATCCCGGAAGCTCTAGGAAAAGGTAACTTTTAAAATATTAAACTATTTTAAATTCTAAAAATCTTAAAACCAAATTTCATCATAAATCAATTTACGTTTCCGACGCAGAAAGAACATTAAAATTGAAAGATTAATTATTTAAATCTTAATATTTTTAATCGTTTCAATACTTTTAAATGCTGACTGATGATTGGTTAAACTTCTTAAAATCTAATCTTCTTATTGGGTGTTTTAGTACATTGAGCAAACACGACGTAATGCTTGAAAGAAATGAGTGAATATAAAATGTTATTCCAAATTAATTTAAGGTTTTTCAATTTCCCTGTGAGGAAGAAACCCTCGCATAATCACCCCTCAAACCCTGGCCAACCCTGCACCAGCACTACAGGTAATGAATGAGAAAAATATGTTTAAGGAAAATATAATATTTTTATTTTAAAGCCCGAGATCCTCGCGACTTTACGATCTACGGCATGGACGTGAAAAATGAGCAGGAATGCGCAGATCAAAGGTAGAATAAATATTTACATTTTTTAAAACATTGATTGTTCCCCCTCCTCCATGTTTGGCATGCTATCTCATATATTTCTTCTTCATTTTTTCATGTAAAGATTGCAAAGAAAAAATCACCAATTGAGACATCAATTCATTTTGCAAAAAGTTTATTAGATTTTAGATTATTTTGTTTAAAAAGTAGAACATTAAATCTATAAAATGAATTAAGTCTTTGCCACAAACTCAAATTGCCTAAACCTTATATCTCTGCTACCTGATGGTGTAAACTTATATTATTTTAAACTCAGATTATTTGATCTCACAGAATTCGTAGTTTGAAATATCTAATGTCCGCAACATTTGATTGCAAAAATATAGGGATTAGAAAATTTGAGTTTGTGGCAAAGATTCATTTCATTTAAAGAGTTTTTTTCATATAATTCTACAAAGGTTAATTTGTCTCTTTTTAAATCCTTTTTCATTGTTTTATAAAAAATACTTCTGATCAATCAGAATACTCCAAATCATGTAATGTGTAGTCCAATTCCTATTAATGGGATTTTCGAATTTGCATGTATGATTCAAAAATTAAATGGTACCCTTGAAACCTTGATTTGTGCGAAAATATTGGAGTAATATCTGAAAATATTGGAGTAATATCTGAAAATATTGGAGTAATATCTGAAAATATTGGAGTAATATCTGAAAACTGAAAAATATTGGAGTAATATCTGAAAATATTGGAGTAATATCTGAATGAAAATATTGGAGTAATATCTGAAAATATTGGAGTAATATCTGAAAATTGATTAACTAAAATTGTGGTTCTCTATAAAAGTGAAGAGAGCTACAGGAGAAATCTATATCTTGTTAAAAAATGACAATATATGCCCCGTGTTTGTTTCCTATCAAGGTTTACCGGGTTGAGTTTGGTATACAACGTTTTGAAATTACGCCGACAGTCCCTTAAACCTTGTATTTGTTAAACAGTAAAAATATAGCTTAGTTTTTCAAAAATGTTTATATATATATTTTCATTTTTATACATTTTATTAACATCAAATATGTATGTTGTTATATGTTAGCTTTAAACTATTACATTTGTGTTGTTCAGTTTAATGTTCCATAAATCATTAATTTCAAGCAGATCGGTCTGTACTGTACTGTACTGTACTGTACTGTACTGTACTGTACTGTACTGTACTGTACTGTACTGTACTGTACTGTACTGTACTGTACTGTACTGTACTGATTTGTACTGTACTTTACTGTACTGTAGCTAGCTTTTCGTTTCTCTTCACATTTTAGTTCTAATCAAAAGCGCACATTTTTGTCCACAGCTTTGAATTAAGATCAAGTTTTCTATCGCTCTAGTATAAGAGCAAGTTTTGTCCATTGCTCTAGTTTAAGAGCAAGTTTTGTCCATTGCTCTAGTTTAAGAGCAAGTTTTGTCCATTGCTCTAGTTTAAGAGCAAGTTTTGTCCATTGCTCTAGTTTAAGAGCAAGTTTTGTCCATTGCTCTAGTTTAAGAGCAATTTTTTGTCCATTGCTCTAGTTTAAGAGCAAGTTTTGTCCATTGCTCTAGTTTAAGAGCAAGTTTTGTCCATTGCTCTAGTTTAAGAGCAGGTTTTGTCCATTGCTCTAGTTTAAGAGCAAGTTTTGTCCATTGCTCTAGTTTAAGAGCGATTTTTTGTCTGTCATTTTATTTTAAGAGGAAAGTTTTTATCCATAATTCTAGCTTTTGATAGAGCAATTTTTTTCCCATCACTTTAGTTTGTCAGTTTTATCATTTATACGCAAAGAACAAGTTTTATCACTCTAGTTTAAGAGCAATTTTTTGTCTATCACTCTAGTTTAATGTTTTTCTCCATTACTCAGTTTTTGTCCAAAACCTAATTTTAAATTTACAAGCCTATAAAGCTTTGTCTGATCAAGTATGAATTAGATATAATGCATGTTTTTATGTTTGAAAACTAATTATTTTTATCTGTGGCTTTTCTACAAAACGGACTAATTGCTTCATCATTTTTATCCGATTAAGGTGTCAAGGAAGGGAATTGCTATGAATCGGGGTCACTTGAAATTACGCTTACAGTCCCTTTAAACATTATCAAAAGGCATTTCTTTGAACAAAATCGAAAAGATCAGTTGCGACATTGTTTGTTTTGATTTCAATACATAAATCAAACACTTTCATTTGCAATCAAATTAGTTGCGATCGAATTTAGCTGCGATGAAATCAAATCATTTGCAATAAGTTAAAATTGCAATTAATGCTCATTTGCAATAAATACTTAATTGCAATCAAATCAATATCAATTAAATCTCAATTGCAGCTAAGTTTGATAAATGAAAGTATATCCATGTATCCTGCATTACAATGTTTAGTTTCTTGATGTACGTAAATTGTCTTAAAACCTTTTGTTTTTCTTTCCCTTAGTAAATACTTTTTAGCAGTTACATTTTGCTTGATTTTAAATGTTTTTAGTTTACTCATGGAATGAAAAAGAAAATGGTATTTAATGTCCTACCCTTTTAATGTTAAAGCGTTCTATTTAATGAGTAAATTAAAATTTTTCATTTTCATTCCAGAGCGTACACATCATTGCCCTATCTGTCTGGGCCCTCCCTATTGCACTGGAAGAGTGAGGACTATACCCCCCTCCTAGCTGATCCTGGGATAGGAACACCGCAGGATGAAGATTCACAATTATCTTTCTAATGTTGGACGTTCATTTAGTTTGCATGTACGTATAGATATTCATAGCACTCTTAATTACATAGATATTAGATTTGAAAAAAAAATTTGAAAAATGATATTTATTAAGTTTAACATCCAGTAGAGAGTTTGATGAGGCCTGCCCTTGGGAAACTGAACATAAATCCCCTTTGCCCGATGTGTCACGGAACAGAAAGCTGTCAACTGCTGGAAGTGAACACCCCCTTTCTATTGACTATACACGGCCTAAGCCGGAGACAATTGTGAAGGAACTGGTGGGAGAGAGCAGTAGCTTGCCCATGAGAGAAGCAGCGCCTCACCAGCCCTTGTGTGAAGCTAAATCCTATAGTGAAGAAAGTAGTCACGTGATAAGTAAAAGTAGCCACCCTATTGGTCGGAATATTGATACAGAGGAGGAGAGGGGAAGAATGGAAGTTGATATTGAAGAGGAACCTGAAGATTTAAACAAGGTAAACTTTGTTTTTCAGCCCTCTTTCTGCAAAATCGAATTGTCTAATCCTAAATCTTTGCATCCTGATGGTGTAAACCTTTAATATTTCAAAGGAATTGATTCTTTACCACAAACTCAAATTTGTCAAGTCTTTGCAACCTGACGATGTAAATCCTTAATATTTCAAACTTGGATTTACTGATCTAACGAATTCAGAGTTTGAAATATCAAAAGTCTACGACATCTAGGGATTAGAAAATTCAAATTCAGTTTTTCATTCTTAAATTACATTTTCTATTTACATTATAAAATAAATTAAACAATAAAAAAATCGTCGATTTTCAAAATTTCAAAAACCCATTTTTCTAGAGTAATGTTTTTGAAGTTTGACTTTCGTGTTTAATGGTTATTATCAGAATAATTCGAACCGTTTCGACCTTTACACTTCAGTTTTAGTAGAAGTAAATATTTCCATTTACTGATAGCACCGATTAAAGGATTCATATATCTCCATTTGGATAATGAGATAGATAGAGAAAGATAGATATTGCCGCCGTACTATATCTTTTGGTTCATAAAAGGTAACAAACACATGACTGAACCCTGATTGGATCAGGCGCTAATGGACTCGGCATATGGGAGTGTTAATAGGACCCAAACAAACCAATAAACAAGCTACCCAAGTTTACTCATCTATTTATATATATATTTTATTTAGTATTGGCTTGTCTGTCCGGAGATGGAATTCAAAGAATTTGAGCCGCGGTTTAAATCCGCCAAAACCCGATTTAAATTAAGCGCCGGCTTAAATCTTGAAACATTTGATACAATTTTAAGTGGAACCAACCATATTTAAACCGCGGCTTAAATTTAAACCGCCGCTCAATTCGGCCACTGGTCTTTTTTATCCAAAAATGTCAAAACGGCTAAACCGATAGGCCTATTTTTTTGTGGCAACTCACATAACCCTGAAGGGAAGCTTTATTGTTGGTTGAAATTGCAAAATTGTGCTTGATAAAAATTTAGAAATCCGCGAACATTTGAGTTTTAATAGAATCCTCTAGTATAATGTATCTAGATTGAGCTTGAGCCTTTATTCCTGCCTTATTAATTTTTCATGCTTTGCAAGTGCCTGTTGAAGACAGAACAGCAATTACATCTTCATATACCAAACCGCAAGAAGAATAAGTCTACAAGTTTTTGTTATTTTTGTTCTACATTACATCATTTTTTTATTGTTATTTTTGTACATTGAGACCCATACAAATTTGATATAAGAGGATGACATTTGAGCAATCGTATGTTTTTAATGTTGTAATTTGAAAGTTCACAGTTTCATGAATTCCACTGTATATTAGCTGGGCCTCCTACTCTCAGAAGAGACCTGTAGAAAAGGAATATTATAAAAAGGATTACTATTATTGGTAATTGTACAACCTGAACCTCCACCACTCATTGGCCTCCGCGGGAGGACGTGATACACCTCTAACGAACCTTTTACCCTTCCATGAAACCTAATCATAAGAACAAAAAATGAGAAAATTTCAAAGTTGAACCACTTATCTTGTTTGGTCGGTTCAAGTACAAGAAAGGTGGTTCAACAAAGTCTACGTAGATCAACTATTTCTTGTTCTGCATCAAACACCCACACGTTGAACTAACAACAGCGAGGTGCATACTTCTGTATCGGAATATTTTGAGCTATTGTTGATATGATGGATCAAACCCTCATAGAGTTAATAAAGTAGGAGTTTCTAGTTTCACATGATACTGAACATTTCGGCCTGGGTTAACCCTCATCAGTTCTTGAGATTGTTTCTGTCATGAAGATTCAAAACAAATTCTTCTGCCAATAATATTTTGGTTTTGGAAACACAATTGGGAGTTTGCCCCGGGGGATTTTTAAGCAGAAATAAAAGCAACGTTGTCTATGAAATGTTTAAAAATGAAGGAACAACCGTATACCTAGTTTTGTGTCGTCTCAAGTCGTAATTAGGAAATGTTATTTCAAACTCTTTACAAAATTGTAGGATACAGAATAGTTTTATATAAACATCAAGAGCAATATTATGCTAATTTACTTTAATCTAAATGTAAACCAAGAAATAAATTCAAATCTTTGGTGGCTATTATGATACCACTGTGAACTAGACAGAAAGAGAAAGTGAAATTAATTAGACATTTTAGGGATGGCTTTACAACAATTAAAAACACAAAATCTTATGTGGTATTTCCAAATTAACGAAAGAACGACGACAACAATGAGTTTTCCTGTATACAAATTTTGCACATTTAAACCCTTTGGCAATTTGGGACAGCAGCCGTTGCATGTGGATAATTAGAATCATAAAATAGCATTTAGAGCACACTTAACGTCAGGGTTTACAGTTTAAAACAAAACAACTTTAATATTTAATATTTTTATTTAGTAAAGCTGAATATAATATTTATTATTTTAGTTATTTAGATTTATCGCCAAAGCTAGTTTTATATCCCCTTATCATGACACTTGAAATTATAAAATGTACAATCGCTTTATTACGTTTTTACAGGAGAAAAGTAGTTCTTTTTTGATGAGAAAACCTAGATTTGAATCTGCTACAATGTCCTAATTCTTTCTTTAATGTTTAGGTGGATGTAACTAATGAGACTGTTCACGAAGATGTTGAAGGAAAGTTGTCTGACAACTCAATCTTCTCAATTGGAACAGGTTCTCCACCCTCCCTTCATTCAACCCACTCATATCAGGACCCCTACAAACCAAACCAGGAGGACCCGACACAACATAGAATTAAAAATCCCAATGGATTCCCGCGCAAAACTTCAATGGAAAAGAAGACACGTTACACCACGTCGGAGTCAGCTGATCTATCAGCTGTCGAATCAGCTGACGCTACCAGAGAACAGCTTGCAGCTGGAACAACAAGCATGGAAGAAGATGAACAGGATGGTTGGATCTCAGAAGAAGTCTGTCCTTGGGAAGATGAGTAAGTTCACATTATTACGTAAAACTTAGCAAATATATGTACACTCCAAGATTTTGCAATATGAATTTGAAATAGAAAAAAAATTGTCCCTAATTTACATTTCTTAACAGTTAAGTCTGATTCAAGTTTTTCAAAGGAAAAAATAAAGTGAATACACAATTCCCCGTCTCCACTGATTATTTTTCTTTCTTAAGAATAACATTAGAAAACTTCTCTTACTTTTTTTATACTCGACCTTAATATAAATTTCTGTATATTTCAGTACTCTTACTCCAACATGGCTGTAAACGTCTGTTCCTCCTCATTCCATAATTAATAGGTAAGGTTTCTTATGTTTAGTGAAATAACATGAAATAAGTATAATAAAGTACATATTTACTGTTTCAAGTACATGTGACTGTTTCCTGTATAAAGTACATGTTTAAAGTTTCAAGTACATGGGACTGTTTCCTGTGTAAAGTACATGTTTACTGTTTCAAGTACATGGGACTGTTTCCTGTATAAGTACATGTTTACTGTTTCAAGTACATGGGACTGTTTCCTGTATAAAGTAAATGTTTACTGTTTCAAGTACATGTGACTGATTACTGTTTCAAGTACATGGGACTGTTTCCTAAATAAAGTACATGTTTACTGTTTTGTATAAAGTACATGGGACTGTTTACTGTATAAAGTACATGGAACTGTTTACTGTATAAAGTTCATGGGACTGTTTACTGTATAAAGTACATGGGACTGTTTACTAAATAAATTTCTTGGATATATCTGCGTCCTTCAGGCTTAAATCTTCTGTGATATGTGTGTAGAAATATGTGACCCATCTTAATTAGAAGCCTCTGAAAGACAAAATGATTCTGAATGTTTAAAAAACGTACCAAAAAAAGGACTTTAAATTGTGACCTTACAATCTCCATGCAAAGGTTACAAAACCCGATTCACAACGGTACCCTTAAAAACCTTGTCTGATCAAGTATTCGAATTAGATATTAATGTTTTTGATCTTGAAAACTGATTATTTTCAATTTTGGGTTCCCATACTGCAAATGTGACTTGCACATGTCTACTAAGGAAAACATATGGCAATTATCAGAATCAAAGCATATTTAACTTTATAAAAGGCAATGCTTCCACATTCTTGATGAGATATAGGTGACATGGGTACTGTTGTGAATCGGACATTCCTATCTCTGCATGGATGGTAACCTGAAACTTGGACCACACAATATACGGATATATATACATAGTCCTTTCCCAAGTAATACACATTACGATCTCTCTCTACATTTTATATATTTTGTACAATGGGAGTATTTTCATTAGTTTTTTTTTGTTAAGAATAGATATATTTTATCAAATTAAGATTTCTTTAATCAGTATGATAGCCAGGGCTGGTTGGGTTTAAGATAAAATTCAATTCTAGAACTTTTTCAATCTTCAGCTTAAATATTTGCTAAAGTTAAAGAAAAGAAAATATTGATTTTAGATTCTAATATTTAAACAATCCGTGTATACAGGTCTAACCACAAAAGTTGAGACTTCGGATACGACTGTACTGAATTTATTCAGTCATCTTTCGTAAATCGGCGATACTCACAGTTTCGCACTTGTTTCTATCATCGACAGATCATTTTATATCTACATTGCTTTTAAAGATTTACAGGGCTACCCACGAAGAATGAGACTTCAGAGACGACTGCACGGAATTTATATTGTCTGTTTCTCTCATATTTATGATTCCCTGCAACTGTAATCTGGGTTCTTTCTTTGTAAAATCATGTAATAAGCCATTAAAAGACAATATTTAAGGCAGAACCACTTAAATTAACCTTGAATAAATCATATGTTAAAAGTTGTAGGTCGTCTTTACAGTCTCAGTCTTCACAGGGTTGTGGGCAACCCTGTGTACTTAAATTTAAACAGTTTCAGGCTGTCATTTAAGTCTAATTGTGGATTAATCTTAAAACTTAACTTTATAACTTCAAACTTAAATATTATTTATATACCTGGATATTATTTATATACCTGGATATTATTTATATACCTGGATATTAATTATATACCTGGATATTAATTATATACCTGGATATTA